ATTTTATTACATTTACATAAAGGAGAAAGGACATAGAACACACAGAGAGAGAAAGAAACATCCATGCCTTGCCCTGGATTTGAACTCAGGACCTTTCTGATGCAAGGACAGTTCCCTGCCCCCAACACAGGCCGGTCGGCACGTCTTTTGCTTATATCATTATTTGTTCATGTATTTTATTGTAACCGTGATATATTTTTGTTTTGTGCACCTGGCAACTTCGATGCACAATTAGTTTGTTTATGTTCCACATGGCGTCATGCGTGTCTTTGTGTTAAGTAAAAAATTTATCGTGAAAAATGAAAATTTTTGTGAAAGAATATAGAATGTGTCACTTAAGAGAATTGACACTTGATGGGCTTTGCTTACTAGAAATAGAATGGAATGAACAGTTGTTAACGTAAACAAATGTTACGTTTCAGCAACCAATCAGGATCGAGATACTATGTCACTTGGAAGTATCTCATTGTCACACAACAAATTCACGCGACTCCCCGAAAATAAAATCATGCCCAGCTGGGTGTGGAGGCTATTTTTCTTATGAAAAAATATTGTTGCATAATCATATTGTATTAAACACAAAATGAGTTTTTTTAAAACATTTCTTTTAATTTTGATTAGAAAAATTAGATAAATAGGTTTAACTACAAGTTTTCCTTTTCTTCAGGTTGGTATAATCAAATAAAACTCTTCATAGCTAGAAAATTGAAAAATTAAAACATATCATTTTTATTAAATTTTTGTTACTATAAATTTTTTTTCTATGTTATCACTTTATAATACTCATATTTTTTTTTAATTACAGAAGAATTGTATCAAGACGCTGAAGATGTAAGTTGACTTTATTTTATAAAACGTATTGAAAACACATATTTTTTTCTCCTTTTAATTTGCGTATGGCTCATGCAAGTTTTTCATAATATTATAATTTGAACATAAAGAATTATTTAAACAATATTGAATATTGTATAATATTGCGTTACTTTTTTTCATTATGGTAAGAATGGTAATTCAATGTACTAGGAGTGTTCGGCCCCTGCTCGCTAGCGCTCGCCACTGCTTTCGCAGTTTTCGGATTTCGAAGCAATCCGATGCTCGCTCATTGGATACGTTCTTAACGTCTAGCTTTTGTATACTTTTTTGAACACTGAAGTTCCAAAAACTTTTCACTGTAGAAAATTCTAAACCTGTGCGTTTCAATATTAATTTGAAATTGCAAACAGTTCACATATTTTTCTTAATCACACTATTCTAAATTTCAGTTGTTGAGAAAAGTAACTGTTGTAAGTTTTGTTTTAAAGTCTTTCCCACCAGAGGGCTAAAACCATGTGTTGTAAAACAATATGAAATAGTACTGAACGCCGGATGTAAAGCATCGGCTTCGATGAAGATAATTTTGTGAGAATTTTTTTGATANACTAAATAAAAAAATTTCTTGTTGATCTAAGAAGGAATTGACTTAAATTTTTTTTTTTATAATACTTGTTTTATTTTTTAAAAAAAATTTATGTCACAGTAAGTTTATAATTTCTTTAAGATAAATGCCTTTAAGAAAGATAAAATTTTATTAATCCTTACCGTGTTCCGCGGAACCTTAAGGTTCCATGGGAGGGTTAAAAGGGTACCGAGAGTTAGGACTGTTTTTTTCACCCAGTAATGAATTTTAATTAGAATCAATCATTTGACGTTTTTATTTTGCAAAACATTTATTTAAAAAATTATATTAGTATTTCCAATTGTATTTTTCAAATTAAAAAGAAATAACTAAATTCTTCAATGAAGAAATAAGTTTCCCTGATATTAATTTTAACGTTAAAAACAGATTTTTTTTTAAAATTTTCATTTCAACAAAAACCATAATATGTATAGCTTATCTGCTATTTTATGCATAGCATAATAGCTTATTTTACTCATTATCAACTTATGCAAATCAAATTTAAAACTAACTTTTCTGCATACGTATATTAGCATGTTATATATTTTTCGTCGTCTAAAAATCAAGCTACTGAAACCAACACATTGGTTGATAGAATCAATCATAAATCAATTTAAAAATTGTAATATCAAGAATAAAACGGTTTAGAATATTTACAATTACAATTGTCTTAATTAGTTGATTGAATGAAATAAGCAAGCTTTCGAACTTTAACGATACAGAAGCCGTTGCAATATGCACATTACCGAGTAAATTAAGAAAAACTCTCTCTCTACACTTTGACGGTGCAAATTAGTTATCTGCAGATTGGATAGGTAATGCGCATATAACGATCTGCAGATTGGCTATAGGTATTGTGCATACTAACGATCTGCAAATTAGCTATAGGTCATGTGAATATTAACAATCTGCAGATTGACTATAGGTAATGTGCACGTAACGATTTGCAGATTGTCTATAGGTAATGCGCGTATTAACGATCTGCAAATTGGCTACAGGTAATGTGCATATTAACTGCAAATTGGCTATAGGTCATGTGAATATTAATGAGCTGCAGATTGGCTATAGGTATTGAGCATATTAACAATCTGCAGATTGGCTACAGGTAATGTGCATATTAACGATCTGCAAATTGGCTATAGGTAATGTGCATATTAACTGCAAATTGGCTATAGGTAATGTGAATGTTAATGAACTGCAGATTGGCTATAGGTATTTAGCATATTAACAATCTGCAGACTGGCTAGTTAATGTGCAAATTAACTGCTTTCAAGCTTTAGCCGTAACTTATACTTCATAATCTAATAATGGATGTATTTGTTCAAGTTTTCTAGCAAAGCGTTTGTTCTAAATATTTGTTCTAGAAAGAATTTCCTTCTTCTTTTAGAGAACTCTCATACCTACATATTTTCTTTGGAGAAAAAAGAAGTGGTCACAAATGTATTAAATTAACGAAGTTTTAATTTCCGCAATCACTCTTTAATATTTATTTGTAAGACGCATGGTAACACTGCGTAAAAAAAGATTTAGTTCCCGAATTCTATATAAATTTCGATATTCTTTCGGGGGAATAATTTTTCTTTTTTTTTAAATTAAAAGAGAGTCTGGATCTCCAGTGTATAGCAATAATAAAAAAGAAATCGAAAGGCTCCAAAGAGAAGAAGAGAAGAAAGTACGAAAAGAACAGAAAGAGAAAGAAAAACGGGAAAAAGAACAAGAGAAACTGAGAAGAAAATTTGGAGTAAGTTAACTTAGTTACTTTACCTTTAATATTAGTTTATTTAAAAAAGAGATAAGGAGCTAAATTCTATTTTAGTTTAAAATGCTAAATTCCATTTAACATGTTTCATAAAAATGATGTTTAGAAACATCATTTTTATGAAATTTAGTAATAGCATTAGATGTTCTTTCCTCACTGCTAAATGCATTCATAAAAACATGTTTTCAATTTTTAAAAAAAGAAAAAAAAATGCAGAGTAAAACGAAAATTAAAAAAAAAATGGAGAAATATGTTTTTCCAATGAAAACCTCCTTATATAAGGATTTGGACTAAAAATAAGAAAAACGAGTTTTTTTATTATGCCATATAGCCCATTAAAATTTTCCCATTAAAAACTTCCTTATAAAAAATTTGGAGTAAAAATAGGAGAAATTTTTTTTTTTTTAAGTAAGCCATATAGATCACGTTTTCCCATTAAAAACATCCTAATACAAAGATTTGGAAAAACACGTTTTCCCATTAAAAACCTCCAAACATAAAGATTTAAGAAAAAAAATTCAATGTTTTTTATTCATAGTTAATTATGTATCCAAATGTTTCTCTTCAATCAGAAAAAAATATATAAAAAAATGGAAAAACATGTGTTTTAATATGACATATAAAATAAACATGTTTTCTCATTAATTAAACTCTTCTTATTTAAGTATAGGAAGAAAGTGACTCTCATATCCTTAGTTAAGAACAACACATTATTGATGAAATAGTGAATCAAATCAAGTGAATATTACTTAATTAAAATTTTTCTTCATTTCAAAAATATATAAATTGGAAATAACAATCAACATGTTTCAAGAACTCAAAAACAGGCGCCTATTTTCAAGACTTGTCATACATGAATGAGGAAAAAAAATAAGTGATTTGAAATGCGAAACGTAAAGATGTCAACGAAAAATGGAAAAATAAAGGCCAGAAACAAAACTCAAAAAAACCCGCAAAAGCCGAGAGAGGCATATCAAAGTAAAATGCATTTCCACAGGCTTCATATGAATAAAAGAAGATTCCAGGGTATCGAGATGAGCTGATTTGACAAGGGTAGAAATTATTTTGGCATCGTCCAAATTGAATTTATGCCAAAGATTCCAACAATGTGCAGTGATTGATGATAAAGGGCGTTTCTAGTTCCTCAAGTCTAAATTTTGATTGGCACACCCCGTCTTCAAAAACCAGCCTTGAACTAAAGATAACATGTGGCATATTATGTGTTAATTTAAGAACAACCCTTATCAAAGAGTCCAGAATTAACATTTTAAATTTCTTGAAAAACTTTTCGATCCAGCTAGTATTTAAGTCAAATATGATGCTGGTTCATTGAAATATATTTCTTATTAAAATGGTTCAATATTCTCGTATTAAAAATAAATTGTTGCGTAATTCTGATCTCGGAATTCTTTTTTTTTTTTTCAGTTGACAGGTGAAGAAATCCCTATTGATGATGGTTTAGTCAAGACTGACAGTCGTGGTGGTAAAGGTGACCTTCCTGTGAAAAAAGGTGAAACAGTTCTTATTTTACGAATGGAAGGTAACCCATCTGGAAAATGGCTTGTTAAAAACGAGAAAGGAAAAAGTAATTATTTCAATATATATATGTATATACATTGTCCCGCTTTATATCTTTGCATTTTTTGTAAGTAATAGAAAGATGAAATATAATTTTGTGAGCATCGACCCGATTGTGACAATGCAGGCTGTGCTGCGCACAAGCCGCCTTTATTTCCCAGACCAGCTGAGTGAACTTCAAACTGCCACTTAAGATCAACTCAAGTTCTTCACAATGAGAGCTCGGTGAGCCGTGATGGCTCAGGGGATAGAACGTTCGTCTTCAAATGAAGTGAACCGGGTTCGAATCCCAGCTATGGCTGGTCGAAACAAATCCGCATCCGGCTTGCCCTGACCACTGTTCTGATGTAAAATTTCCTCAGTGGTAGACGGATCATGGATTAGTGTCCCCTTGCCGTCAAGAAAGCCGTGGGAAGTTTTCATCTCCAGTTCACGCAAATGCGGGTGAGTTCCATCAAAAAGTCCTCGACGAAGGCACATTTCTCCCAAAACTTGGTCCAGGAGTTCCTTTGTCCTCTGGATTAGGTTCAAAACTACAAGGCTACGAAGTAAGCTCCCTAAGCCTAATGTCAGACTGCCAATTTCGAACGTTTTCTTTTCTTTTCTTTTTTTGCAAGTAAAATTATTAAAGGGCCAAGATAGCCTGGTTAATAGGGTACTGGTCCCATGTCCAAGAGGTCGTGGGCTCGATCCCCGCCGTCCGAAGACTCCCAGTGTAGTGGGTCACCAAATGGTGACTGATGCATGTTAAATCTGTCGAGTCGCAAAGTCCTGCATGTTCCCATTACAAATCATACCTTTGGGGGTACTGATACAGGAGTTCCCTTACCTTCTGGATTGGTTCAAAATTACAAGGCTAAAGAGTTGAACATTAGTAATCGCAAATCCAAAAAATTGAGTCGGCTGTTCAACAACGGTTATAATATAAAATGTAGGCATCGTTGCGTGCAAGCCGCCTTTATTTCCCAACTGTCCAAATTGCCACCAAAGACCAAACTCCAAGTGCTTTTGACCGGATAACCATCACGTCTAATTTTTTAAAAAAAATAATTCATTTACAATCCTTTCGTCCAATGACAAATCAGATTATAATTTAACTGATGTCATAACTTTTTCTAGAGTCAAAGTTTTTGCATACTTGTATTTACATTAACCTTGTCATTTTTTCCCCTGGCACAGCAATAAGCTACGTCAAGAACTACCATCTGTTTTTCCAAGACGATTTTACTATTTTTTTAATTGTTAATTATTACTTTATTTCCTGATTAAATGTTTCTGCGTTTTTTAATATTTCTTTCTGATTTGTTTTCAGTTGGCTATGTGGAGTTGGCAAACATTGAGGTAGATCCACTCTCCGTTAAATCTGTAAGCTTTATCGCTTTTTTTGCTTCTTGTATGGTGGAAGAGTTTTGTATTCGTGATGTCCATTTTTTTTTTTAACCCAATACCCATTGTTCTACCTTACATGTGAAACCTGCTTCTATTTTGTGTTTATTCTCTAGTTTGTGTTCTTTAATAATATATGTCTTCGCAATCTATAATTTATTATCTATAATTAAATATTTATATAGTATTTATATTTAGTTAGTTTGTAAAATTAATTTTAGGTTTAATCTGTTCCAGGTTTATTTATTTAAAATGTAGAAAAATTTTTCAACTTAATTAACTTTAAAAACGTAATTTGTTTTTAAATATTTTTTAAAAATTATAATCTTTAGCTTTAATTATAGAATTAAAGAAGCATTCTGGATTTGGATATATATATATATATATATTCAAAGTTAAAAAAAAAAGATCAAGTTATCTTTGCATGAGATGATCTTTAGTTATGATTTTACAATCTTCATAATTTGGGATAATAAAGGCTTTATTATGATATCTCATAAGTTGTTTAATTTTATTTCAGTCTTTTTATTCTAAAGGTGAAACAAATAAACAAAGAAAGATAACTTTTGAGTTGTTCGAATTTGTTTAAACAAGCTTAACATTATTATTAGTCTATTGATAAGATTTCGTGCTTGCTTCCTATCAATATTTATTTTGAAGTTATTAAATCCAAGAGTGATAAAAGGTGATTTTATCAGATATGTGTTTTTTGAATAAGACAATCGAATTTTTTGAATAAGAAAAAGATACTATCTAAGATATAATTATTATTGATACCAATGAGGAAATAATTTTATTGATATTCTCTCATAATTAATTAAATAAACAATATCTCAGGTTATACTTTTATTATAGCAGTAACAACTTTACTATTACTTTATTTTTATTATAAAGATAAATAAATAAAACAGTGTAATGTGATATTATATAAGATGTAACTATTAATACCTTTGAGGAAATAACCGTATTGCTGCTCTCTTATAGTAAATTAAATAGATAATATCTCACTTTTTATCATAACAATAAAAACTTAAGTATTACTTAATAATTATTAGAAAGATAAATACGTAGAATTGCTAACTTAAAAGATATTATCTAAGATATAATTATTATTGATACCAATGAGGTAATAATTTTATTAATATTCTCTTAAAGTTAATTAAATAGATAATAAAAAGTTGAGTACTACTAAATTGCTATAGAAGAGATAAATAAATAAAACAGAGAATTGTTAACTTTATTGATATTACATAAAATGTAATAATTAATACTATTGAGGAAATAACTATATTGATATTCTCTTATAGTTAATTAAATAGATAATATCTCACTTTTTATCATAACAATAAAAACTTAAGTATACTTTATTGGAAAGATAAATACATAAAATTGTTAACTTAAAAGATACTATCAAAGATATAATTATTGTTGATACCAATGAGGAAATAATTTTATTGATATTCTCTTAAGTTAATTAAATAGATAATAAAAACTTGAGTATTGCTATATTGTTATAGAAGAGATAAATAAATAAAACTGAGAATTGTAACTTTAGTGATATTATCAAAGATGTATCACTATTAGATTGATACCACTGTGGTAATATCTTTATTGATATTCTCTTTGAGTTAATTAAATAGATAATATCTCTGATTATACTTTTTATTCTAACAATAAAAACTTAAGTATTACTTTATTATTATTGGTAAGATAAATAGTAAAACAGAAAATTTTTAACTTAAAAGATACTATCTAAGATATAATTATTGTTGATACCAATGAGGAAATAATTTTATTGATATTCTCTTAAAGTTATTTAAATAGATAATAAAAACTTGAGTATTGCTATATTGTTATAGAAGAGATAAATAAATAAAACTGAGAATTGTAACTTTAGTGATATTATCAAAGATGTATCACTATTAGATTGATACCACTGTGGTAATATCTTTATTGATATTCTCTTTGAGTTAATTAAATAGATAATATCTCTGATTATACTTTTTATTCTAACAATAAAAACTTAAGTATTACTTTATTATTATTGGTAAGATAAATAGTAAAACAGAAAATTTTTAACTTAAAAGATACTATCCAAGATATAATTATTGTTGATACCAATGAGGAAATAATTTTATTGATATTCTCTTAAAGTTAATTAAATAGATAATAAAAACTTGAGTATTGCTATATTGTTATAGAAGAGATAAATAAATAAAACTGAGAATTGTTAACTTTAGTGATATTATCAAAGATGTATCACTATTAGATTGATACCACTGTGGTAATATCTTTATTGATATTCTCTTTGAGTTAATTAAATAGATAATATCTCTGATTATACTTTTTATTCTAACAATAAAAACTTAAGTATTACTTTATTATTATTGGTAAGATAAATAGTAAAACAGAAAATTTTTAACTTAAAAGATATTTTCTAAGATGTAATTATCATTGATACTGATGAGGAAATAATTTTATTGATATTCTCTTACAGTTAACGAAATAGATAATATCTCAGATTATACTTTTTATTATAATAAAAACTTGTACTTTATTATTATTGGAAAGATAAATACATAAAATTGTCAACTTAAAAGATACTATCTAAGATATAATTATTATTGATACCAATGAGGAAATAATTTTATTGATATTCTCTTAAAGTTAATTAAATAGATAATAAAAACTTGAGAATTACTATATTGTTATAGAAGAGATAAATAAATAAAACAGAGAATTGTTAACTTTAATGATATTCTACAGTAAGAACTCCCCCCGCCACAAAGTCTGAGGCTGTCTGCTGCTATGGAAACAAGAATAGCGCATTTCAGGGAGGGTAGCTTCTCTTCAATCTAGGGCTAACACAATAGACAGAAGAAAAATATTTCATTTTTTTCGCCGTCCCCACACCCCTACTTGAATTAGTTCTACCTCGTTACCATAGTCACCGCCACAGGTCTAGACGAATGGCTAGAGGAGTTCTTTCTTTAGACAAACTATATCTAGTATATAGTTATTAATACCTCTGAGGAAATAGCTATAAGGATATTATCTTAGAACTAAATTATATTGAATGCATATTATCTCTTCAGATAATTCTTTTTTAGTTCGTTATAACAATTAAATACCTATTTCTTAATTATGTTTTAACCAAACAAATTTTTAGTTCGAAATAAAAAAGTTATTCAGATAACTACCCTCAACTAATCTAATTAAAAACTTAACCTTGTTTTCAAAAATGTTTACTAACTACTAATTAACAACTAACAGGCAAAGATTGCTTCCGAAGATGAGGAATGCACCACTCCCATAGAGAAGAATGTAAGATGGTTATCTAAGATTACTGCATGCGTGAGGCAAGTTGAACCAACGAAACACTTTCGTTTAATTTTTATAAAACAGAGGATTGAATTTACTGCTTGCCTTAGAAAATGTAGTGGCTTTTGATTTTAAAGAACCGTTTTGTATGCATTGGCAGAAATGGCACATAGCTTTTATTGCTTGAAATGAAATTTATATTTTGCCAGAATTTTTTTGAGATGTATGAATGCTATTATTTAAAAGATTCTTTAATAACTTATAAACTAAGCTAACTCTTTCAAAAAGCATGGTTTAAATCAGCGCTCTACACCAGTTCTATATGAATATAGACTAAAAGTTTCAGTGTTGTATTTTTTAACTTTACTTTTGCTTACATTTTATAACATGCCATTGTGTTGTTCTAAATTATGAAAATTAATCATAAGGCAAATAAATACACAAGTGGGCGACCTTTGTGCTAAAATACAAACTAAGGCAGGTTGCACTGATGAAGGTTGCCCTTTGAGCATCCGAAACAGCTGTCTGTATTTTATAAATATTTTTGTGCTCTTTAACGTTGTTTGCCTTAGTTTGTAATCATAAGGCGTCTAGAATGCTAGGTAGGTACTTTTTTGTAGAGCTGCACAATGGGTTATTGGCGACGGTCTGGGAAACATCCTCGAGGATGATCCGGAGACGAACCATCGCAATTTTGATCCTCTGCAGCTGCTTTGGTGGCCGACGACCAGCGCGAAGTTGAGCACTTTATGGTAGAACAGTTTAAAGAGGACCGATACCGCGCACCCTCAGTCCCTAAACAGGATGATCAAAGTGGTTCCCCACCCGCCTTCTGACCACATCCAGTGATGCTTGACTGCAATGTTCAACTGGGAACCGTGTCTTTACGATCAGTCCACTGCGGGACTGTCGTACTTTCAAATATCGTTGGTAAATAAAAGGTTAATCGCAACGAATTCATAACTTCCTTTTTAACAAAAAGCTAAATTAAAAAATACATATTATGGGAGGTTGTTACAGAACATCTTGATCATAGTGCTGCATATCTCAAATATTTTGATAAAACATCAATATGCCAATTCTTTTCCTATGCCAATTCAATTTCACTAAACCTGAAAATGTAAGTTTTCAGTTAGTAGCCACTGGAAGGTAGATTCCAAGAACTTAGTAGCCACTTTTACCTCAGACCTAATGAGTCGGTGACCAACACCGATAGGCCTTTAAATTTAATTTCCACTTTTTACTTTTTTCCTCCCTCTTTTGGCTGATATTAAACTATATATATATATATTATCTACGGCATTATTTATAATCTATGGTATCTGTCTATGCCATGGATAGGAGGCGCTGGCGTTTATCAACTGTTGAGGCAGCCAAGGCCTGCAAGAGGCTGTTGTGCTGACAAAGAAGTAGAAGAAGGAATCTATTTATAATCTACTGCAATAAAAAGTTAATTCAACACTAAAAATAATTTAAATATGTGACAAAATTTAGTTAAACACACTGACTTGATTTCACCGTGCAAGAGAATACGTGTACGAAAAAAATTTTGAGGGGATAAAAACAATGGAAAAACGTGACCAGTTGTTTATTTAATTTAGTCGCCACTTTATTTTGTTGACATACCACTCAGCGAATGGCTATTTTCAGGTCTACTGGACACAATAGCCACATAAAATATAATTATACAGAAATTTAAGCCATGGATCAATTGGAAATAAGAAATAAATGGAGTATAAGAAATTAGCGACCCTATAAACCCTATTCTAAATGTGTCAAAAATTTTATAGAAGTTTGACTAGTCTAATCAGCTAATCGAGAAATTAAATAATTCAGTTCTAAGTGTGTCAAAAATTTCATAGAATTTTGACTAGTCCGATCAGCTAAGCGAGAAATTTAATAATTCAATTCTAAATGTGTCAAATATTTCATAGAATTTTGACTAGTCCGATCAGCTAAGCGAGAAATTTAATAATTCAGTTCTAAATGTGTCAAATACTTCATAGAATTTTGACTAGTCCGATCAGCTAAGCGAGAAATTTAATAACTCAGTTCTAAATGTGTCAAATATTTCATAGAATTTTGACTAGTCCGATCAGCTAAGCGAGAAATTTAATAATTCAGTTCAAAACAATGGCACAAAAATGTGTTACTTTATGACACGCAAATTTCTTACGCAATCTATCCCTTATATGTCTAATGGTCTTTCCAAAATAGTCATTGCCTGTGTTTTGTACAGAAATGTCTTAAATGTTGTGTCTTCTAATGTTTATTCTTTTAATTTTCCTTGTTATGTTCTTTATTGCATGATTAATTCCCGCATGCTCTATGTTATGTGTGTGACTATTAACATTATTTTGTTACTTATTATTGATTTTGTGTGTGTTTTTAAAATAATATTTTATAATCTGCAGTCATAAAGTGTCTAGATTCAATGTACTTTTTAACAAAAATTAAAATTCATCAAATATAAACTAGTTTTTATAATGCATAATATGAACAATTAATAACAATTTTAATATATAGTAATAATTTAATAACAATTTTATAATTTTGGCCATCTTTCGCTTAACGTATCTAGCTTCTGTGGTTCTATTAATGATGCATTCTAAAAATAGTTTTTTTAGAATTGTTTTTTTCATTATTTGAAAAAATAAGCAAAGAAGATTAAATCGCATCATAATCGCAAGCTTCGTCACAGTTTGTATTTTTATAAATCAAAACTTAAACATTAGAAAATAATTTAACTGAACACTGCAAACTGTGTTACTGAATATTTGAAAACAGGCAATGGAAACATTTAAATAGTTCATCTCTTTCAGGAAACTCTGATTAAAAATTACAATTTTCATGATAATTTCAAAAAAAATGGTCTTTTAAATTAAATCTAAGGAATTATTTTCGTTTAAAACAAGGAAAGTGTTTTTATTTTATATTTATTTCCTAATATATGTCCTCTGTTTATTAAAAGAAAGAAATTTTTTCCACTATTATAATAATAAATCTAATTTATGAAATATGTTACTAATATCAATATACACATATATTCATATAATATAGAGTTAAGCATGAAAAATACGCCATTTCAAAAAATTACCAACTTGCCTTTTAGCTAGTAATTTCAAGCAGAATTGACTTTTCTAACAAGTGATTAAAAAAAATACAATCGTATAGAATAGAGCCATGATGGCTCAGGGGATAGAGCGTTCGCCTTCCAACGAGGTGAACCGGGTTCGAATCCAAGCGATGGTTGGTCCATACGAATTCCGCATCCTGCTCAAACCGACCACAGTGCTGATGTAAAATATCCTAAAGGAAATATGGATCATGGTAGTCCTTTTGTCGTCAGGCTGTGGAAGGGTTTCATGGTTTTTCTCATCATGTAAATCAAATGTGGGTTAATTTCATCACAAAATCCTTCACGAAGACAAATTTCCCCGAATTATTCCAGATCCGGGAGTTCCCTTGTCTTCTGCATTAGGTTCAAGATTACAAGACTACGGAGTTGAACATTGGTACTCGTAAACTCAAAATTGAGTCAGCTGTTCAACAACGGTTATAAAATAAAATTAACTGACTCTTTGTCTGATGACAATTCAAATTCATTCTTCTTTTGACTAATACTAGCATACGAGGAAAATTTTATCTACATATGTAGCAAAAAGGAATTTACCGATCTCTTTCTTAAAAAAAATNCAGTTTGTATTTTTATAAATCAAAACTTAAACATTAGAAAATAATTTAACTGAACACTTCAAACTGTGTTACTGAATATTTGAAAACAGGCAATGGAAACATAGTTCATCTCTGTCAGGAAACTCTGATTAAAAATTACAATTTTCATGATAATTTCAAAAAAATGGTCTTTTAAATTAAATCTAAGGAATTATTTTCGTTTAAAACAAGGAAAGTGTTTTTATTTTATATTTCCTAATATATTTCCTCTGTTTATTAAAAGAAAGAAATTTTTTTCTACTATTATAATAATAAATCTAATTAATGAAATATGTTACTAATATCAATATACACATATATTCATATAATAAGCAAGAAAATAGGCCATTTCAAAAAATTACCAACTTGCCTTTTAGCCAGTAATTTCAAGCAGAATTGACTTTTCTGATTTAAAAAAAAGCAATCGTATAGAATAGAGCCATGATGGCTCAGGGGATAGAGCATTCGCCTTCCAATGAGGTGAACCCGGTTCGAATCCAAGCGATGGCTGGTCCATACGAATTCCGCATCCTGCTCAAACCGACCACAGTGCTTATGTGAAATATCCTCAGTGGTCGACGGATCATGGGTTAGAGTCCCCTTGCAGTCAGGCTTACCGTGGGAAATTCTCATGTTCGTCCTCTCCAAGAATTGCAAATGTGGGTTAGTTCCATCAAAATTTCTTCCAATACTTGATCCAGGAGTTCCCTTGTCTTTTGGATTGGGTTCAAAATGACAAGGCTACGGAGTTGAACATTAGTAGTCGTAAACCCAAAATTGGGTCGATTGTTCAACGACCGTTATTAAAAAAAAATCATATAAAGTAGAAAAAAATATTAATATTCTTTAATTCTGGGCCATACTCATTACCTACTACTTCAAACATATTCATATAGATTTAAAAGTTTACACCTTAAAACAATTTCTAAATTTTCTAAGTAATTTTCTATATATATATATAACCGTAGTTGAATAGCCAACCCAATTTTTGGGTTTACTATTAATATTCAATTTCGTAGCCTCGTAATTTTGAACCCAATCCAGAAGACAAGGGAACTCATGGATCAAGTATCCGTAGAGATTAGTCTTCGTAGAGAACTTTTTGACTGAACTAATCTGCATTTGCTTTACATGGAGAGCAAGGCCATGAGAACCTCCCACGGTTAGCCGGATGACAAAAAGAATCTAACCCATGATCCGTCTACCACTGAGGATATTTCACGTCAGCACTGTGGTCGGTGCGAGCCGGATGCGGATTCGTAACGGCCAGCCATCGCTGGGATTTGAATCCGGTTCACCTCATTGGAAGGCGAACGCTCTATCCCTTGAGCCATCTACTAAGTAATTTTGAGTAATTCAACAAATAAAGTATGTCGATTAGTTTGATTGCTTAATTGGTAATCTTTATAGATTTTGTTAATACCAAAGTAAATAGCATGACTATAGACATTTATTTATCTAAAAAAAAATAATAATTAAAAAAAAAAAACGATACATAACGATTTTGTATAAAATGAAATCTTCTAACACTTGTAAAATTGACATTTTAGGTGATGATAACAAGAAGACAATCTGTGATTAGTATTAAGTAAGTAATGAGGATTTTCTAAACAACCCTCTCTACACACACTTTATTCTAGAAGTTGCAGAATTAGTTATAGAAGTTAAATGAGTCTAGCTCTCTGGTTCGATAGTATCAAAAACGCTATTTTGTTTTTGTTTATTTCAAACAGAAAGTAAAATATTTTATTTTTAAAATTTATATAAGCAAAAGTATTAAAAATTATTTCATGGTAACATTTTCAACAATTCATATTTTTAATAACCTCTCTACACACACGTTATTCTAAATTAGTCTATCTGGTTCGTTAGTATCAAAAATGCCAGACAACCGATCAACCCTGGATTAAAGTGTCACTATTATTGAAAATTGTTCTTTATTAATTTTTTAATCAGCCTTTTTGACAAAATGTAAAGGTTAAAAAAATAAGGTAATTCAATTGCAAGGAATAATGATATTTTCATGTTAAAATGATGCAATTAATAAAAAGGGGAGTGAAGTGTTTACCCCCCCTCCCTTTCAGTTGAACGACCCAGTCGATCAGTCAGCTGAGTCAAAGGTACTAGAAACTATGTCTGACACATGAGAAAAGGGAGATAGAAAAGGTTTAGAGTTCAAGATGGAGTCACAGAACATGCATTTACCTAAAGAAGAAAATAAACTTTTTAAGTTAATGAGATAAAAGGGCTAAGTTTATTTATAATATTTACAAGGAAGATAAAAACATCTTTTTATGCATCTGAATTTAAATTATCTTTAAGGAATAACAAGTTAAAAGAATAATAAAAAAAAAATACAGTGAGCTGGTTTTAAAATAAACCAGGTAGTTTTCAGTTAGAAAAATAGATTCAACTAGGTATCTCTGATTGACTTTCTATTTGATCTGCATTGTCAGAAAGAAAATAAACTCCTTTATGTATTTTTCAGTATCTACATTTATTTTAATCCTTTATCATAATAAAATAAATTTGACAAAATGAATATTTTTACATAATTCAGAAGAAAAGCTTAGAAGTAATTTATGCATGCATTTTTTTCTATTATCTAAAGACATTACATTTATATTAATTATTATAATTTTAATAATTAATATAAATAATTATACTGAATTCATTACATTTTTTCAGTGAGGAATTGTATTGTGAAGCTAGATCAGAAGAAGAAGAAGGTAAGTTGAATTTATCTTCAATTTTATTGCAAAAAACAAACAAAAAATCTTGGAGAAATGTGTAGTTTACTTATTATATAGCCTTTATATTTCATGAAAAAATGTATTTTTAAGAGTAATAGTAAAGTTTCACTAAATACTAAAAAATTTTAACTTGATGTTTCATAATTACTGCTCTCAATATGTAATTTTAGACGTTTTGTTAAAATTGAAGTAATCATTAAGGGTAGCTTTTTAATTTTTAAGGGAAAAAATACACTTAAGTTCACAACTTTTTGTCAAGATTTTTTTTCCTGACAAGGATTTCATAAATGTAAAGTAAATGCAATGTTTATTATACATATGGTGTTAAAAATTTAAAAATACTCAGAATGTTTCTCCTCAAAGTTATCTAATTCATTCATTCAATAATGCTAAAATTCTTAGAGAAGGCATTTTTGTAAAAATATCATTTTATAAAATATTTCTTAATTTGTTTGAAAAAAAACGTCTTTATATAATTTTACAAGTGAGAAGAAATTAAATTTTACAAGGGAAAAGAAAGGTTTATATCCATTTTTCGCAAAAATTAAGATTAGGTAGTCCTCTGTTGAGGATTACTAAGTTTAAACAAATCGTAAATCGATAGTCCCCACCACAGAGTTATTATGCAGTGAAGATGGTTTGGTAGTTTTGTTTCTTCTCAGAATCAGTTTTCATGGACATAAACCGTTCTTCCTCATTGATCTTTATTAATTTTATTTTAACTAATTAATGTGATTTTGTAATGAATGGAATTATGTTGCTGTACATAATGTTAAAGAAACTAAAATATTTATTTTTGTTTTACAGGTATTTATGAAGTAACTTACTGAAGATACACTTGGAACTCTTGTTTTGAAAAACAGCACAAGAAATATAAAAAGTTTTCTGTTTTTCATTTAGGAAAAAGCATTGAAATGCTTTTTTGAAAAAATTCATTCGTTAAATAAAATGCATATAATCAGTACAAAAAAATTGTAAATAGTCTTAAAAATCAATATGTGTTGATTGATATGTTGTAATAAATAAGTATAATTGGCAATGAGAAAGCTATGAAGTAATCAATCAATGAAGTAATAAAATCAATGAAAAAGCTATGAAGAATCTCGTTTTGAAACCAGCTTAACTCACTTTTTGTAATTAAGAATGAAATACAAACATCACTCATCCAGGAATTGGAACATAACAGAATGGTGTCGAACAGCCAACCCAATTCTGAGTTTACAACAATCACTGCTCAAATCCGTAGCCTTGTAATTTTGAACCCAACCCAGAAGACAAGGAAACTCTTGGATCAAGCATTGAGGCAAACTAGCCTTTAAGCAGGACTTTTTTGTGAATTTACCGGCGTTTGCGTTATCTTCCATGTTTAGCCTGACGGAAAAGGGACTTGAACCCATGATCTGTCTACTACTGAGGATATTTTACATCAGCACTGTGGTCAGAGTAAACCGGGTGCGAAATTCGTAATGACCAGCCATCGCTGGAATTCGAACCTGGGTTACCTCATTGGGAGATCCCTTTTCTTTTGATTGTCACTTTGTCACTGTCTAAAAACAAAAAATTTTAAAAATGGGTACCACCATTATTTTGCAATTTAATTACTTTTTTAAATCATATTTGAAAACTCAAAAGTAATAATTTTTTTAAAAAATTTAATAATTTTTTTTTCACCGGGGAACTGCTTGAAAATGAAATGGTTTAAGCTGTATTTAAAACTTGAAATCTCATATGCTTATTATAAAATTTAATTTTAGTGGTGCAACTGTGTTACCTAATGGCAGTTATTTAAAAGATCAGCAGCTGCAATATTTTTCAATGAATTATTTTACATAAAATGATACCCCTAACTTGAATAATCATGAATTTCATGTAGAATCTGTTTCTATGCTTGTATTGAAATTATATAGTTAATAATGTTTTAAATAATATTTATAAAAAGTAATTCAGTTTGTATATTAAAAATAAATTGTTATGAAATGATCGAAAATTATGTAGTTTCATGTTCAATAATCTGCAATGTTTATGGAAAAAAGAAAGAAAACTATGGTAGCCTTTTCAAAGAAAGAAATGTATTATACTTATTTAATAAAGATTTTGCTCGATAGGAACTGAAATAAGAAAGCGGATTTTAAAAATAAATGTTGATTTATTTATAGAAATTTTATGAAAGAAATATAAATTTCACTAAAATCTTAATCTGAAATTTCTTGTGCTTAAGTGATTCCTAACTGAAAGAGTTGAGAAACAATGGAAATTCAACTATTTTAATGATTCGTGTAAGACTAATTTTTATACTTATATAGAATTGATTGTACATATTTTATCTTTTCTTGCATGTAAATGTGATTTTTTATACTTTTTTTTTATATAAAAAAACAGTTTCACTGTTTAATGAAATTTTTTGTAAGCAAACTATTATTAGTAGTTTTCATTTTATACTGCAGTAACTTTGTAAATATTTGTGTGTATTTATTTTTCAATGATTTGTATTTTATGTTATAGTAATATTTCTAGAAGAATTTGTAAAAAAAAAATGGCAACATGTCTAGTCTTGTGTAAACTCACTTGTGGTCTAATTTTGATAAAGTGATCAAATTTATAAAATAAATGCTTTGAATTTTCTGTGATTGTTTCATTTATTTTTATTTAGCACAAGTACCAAATATAAGTAATGTAGCTTTAGTTTTGTTTTACAATAATGCTGTTTAAAACTTCCATCAGAGTGCATAGCCAAATCTTTCAACAAAAAATTAGCACCTTTTAAGCACTCAAAAACTATTTTTAAGCACTCTATACATTAACAAATGCTAAATAATTTTCAAATATTTTAAATGATAGAATAACTAGTTTCTGACAACTCTTTTCTTGATTCTATTAGCCACTATAAAAAGATCGAGAGATTTTTCGGTTTAATATCAGAGGGTGGAAAATATCTTAAATCCAGCAGAGTTGCACATGCGAGTGCAATAATCTCGCCAAACACAGCTCAGTAGAAGCACTTGGCGGACTTAGAAGTAAGTCATAAAACATATAAGATGATTGGCTCTTTCATACGCTACGGACCAACGGTACGCCAAAATTAATTTTGTCTGAATGAATTGTGAAAACTTTAAATAGAACAAATGTGAAAAGCATGCATTTGCATAATACATGGCGAAAATCGCAGTAAAGAAAAAAAAATCTCATTTTCAAACAGGGAAAATTAAGCACTTTTTAAATACACCCAATTAAAAAAGCACCTTCAAGGGCTTTTAAAAAACGAAAAAAATTACTTTTTAAAAACGCTATGCACCATGTCTATGAAAGATTAAAAATGTGAAAAACATTTTTTAAACCAACTTATTTGCAACATTTAATTGCTTACTGTTGACCGTTTTAACAGTTAAAAATGTGTTTCAATACTAATGAATTAAATTTTATGAATATTTTTACAAATATAAACCCTTAATTTTCACACCAGTTTAAATTAATTGTGTGAATTAGTTTGTGTTAAAACTGTTTTCCACAAGTTCTGGGATTATTCATCATTTATTTATATCACAACAAGTACCAAATACAAGTATCGTTATTCCATTTCTATTTTACAAAAATGCAATTCATAAATTTAGTGAAAGACATTCAGTGATTTATAAATTCAAAGAAAAACAAATGAAAACACATAAATGACAAAAATTTACTTCTCCTTACTGTTAATTTAACAGTGCCATAAAAAAGTTTATTTTTTAGTACTAAAATATCAAATTAGATAAATTTTATTACAAATATTAACACTTAATATTATTGTGAAGCATTATTACCTACTTTAGTTACTTATGAAGATAACTTAGTGTTAAAGTTGATAATTTTAATACTGTTATAGAATTGTTTTAGATAGATATTTGAATAAGTTTAAACCTTTTTACAACAAACGTATATTTCTATATTAACTCTGAATATAAATTTATCACTAGTTTACTTCAATATGGTTGATTCTGCTGATATTAACAGCAATTAAATAGTATAACAGATTAACAGCAATTATAATAAAAATTTGTAATAACAGCATACTCAACACTTAAACGTTCAGCCTGTGTTTAGATAGTTGACAATAAGCTCTATATCGTAAAATTTTTTATAGGCTAAAAGTTTCTAAAATGTGTAATGTAAAAGCAATTATTTTCGTAATTACTAATAGAAATTTATCTGGAAGGTAAAATTTCTTGTTTTTTAAACAAAAAATACATTTTAATGAATCAAAAATAACTTAATTAAAAATTTTTATAGGTTAAAAGTTTCTAAAATGTGTAATGTAAAAGCAATTATTTTCGTAATTACTAATAGAAATTTATCTGGAAGGTAAAATTTCTTGTTTTTTAAACAAAAAATACATTTTAATGAATCAAAAATAACTTAATTAAAAATTTTTATAGGTTAAAAGTTTCTAAAATGTGTAATGTAAAAGCAATTATTTTCATAATTACTAATAGAAATTTATCTGGAAAGTAAAATTTCTTGTTTTGTAAACAGAAAATACATTATAATGAATCAAAAATTACTTGAAAGAATATTTTATCACATAATTCAGTATAAGGCATAAATTGTAAATACGTAAGCTCCTATCTATCAGTATCAAGTAAATAAAAGGATATATCGCATATACATATATATGTGATATTGCATACTACTCGGATGCTGTTCTATCGCTGAAAATGCTGGGAACAAATCGAGAAAAATATGAAAGTTTAATTTAACATTTTTCGCCTTTCAATTTATTTATAAAAAAATACTTTAACTCTCATAAACTCTATTTTACAATAATGTAAAACGAAAATATGTTTATTTGTATGTATTATAAATATACCTTTGCATGCATTATAAATATACCTAGCACGGCTTTTAAGTATTTCTTAATAAGTGCAATCTATTCAACAATATATTTCATTTATGTATATGGCAAGCCATGATTAATAAAGTAATATATATATATTAGTAATACATATATATATATTATTTATAGACAATATATTATATCAAAAAAGTGTTATATGTATTAAAACATTTCATTCATAATTATAATCAGTTGACAAAATCTCACCCTCTCTGATTTCAAATAAAATGGAAGTAAGAGATTAATAATATAATACAATATGTGAATATTATCTTCGAAACATTTATTTAATATGTTGTAAAAATTAATTGATGTTAATTTAATTGAAGTTGTATGGAACATACAAATTTACAGCAGATTAGAGCTACTTTAGTTTTTGTTAGTGTTAAAACTAATTTTCCTATTTGCAAAAACTAAAATAGTTAAAAATGAACTGTTAAAAAACATTATCTAGAAAACTATTCTACATAATTCAGAGATATCAACTAAAAAAAATGGACTCTATTTCAAAACTGAATTAATAATAATAATGCAATGAAACGTAAAATTTATTTTGAATTCCAAACTTTATCAGCTTTTTTAACTTAATTAGGTTTAATGGTAATTACACTGTTTCATTATTTTCCTGTAATATAATAAATTTCTAAATATTCTTGACAAGTTATTACTAATTTGCAACGACATTAATTTCAATAACACAAAATGCTGAAATGAATTTTTTTTTCTAGTATGTAAACATGACGGTAACACATAGCCTTAACTGTATAAAAACATTAGGTCAATTTCCTGATACAGAGCTTTTGGAGCCCACTTCAAACTGTTCTCACAATGTCATTTGAAAATAAACTGAAAAGTTTAATTGATTTTCATTTTTAAAAGAGGGGAGATATTCTTTCCATCTTTTTTTTTGTTGTCATATGTCAATGATTTTATGTAGAATTCAATTATTTTGAAAATAAACTTTCCATTTTAATACAAAATCTTTTCTAGCAATGTATGGGCAATATTTTTCGACAATCAAAATAAAAATTCAAATAAAATATACACTTTGAAATTGAGAGTTTGATCGATGCATTTAAAGTAAAATGGTCAAAGCACTATCTGTTGGAGTGTTGTGCAAATTTTTAAAAATCGCGAATTGTACTTTATTTTTTATTAAGATTCTAACTTTTTTATTGTAGCTTAATTTTCTGAAAGAAATATTTAAAACTGAATTGAATATTTAAAATTGAATAAAACAATATTTAAAACATTGATAAAATAATTATAATTAACCGTCTAGACTCTAGCCCCTGGGTAAAATAGAACGAAAATTTCCCTGCTACACACCTCTCTCCCATGGAAGAACATGGGGTAAACTAGCTTTTAAACGCAGTCCAGCTTGCAGCTGTAAGTTCGGAAAAAGCCGGGACTAACGCTCAAAGGGTTAAATAAAGATTAATGACGTCACAAGCAAAATTATGAATTGAATCAATCGAAAAATCAACAATCTAACGATTAATAACCGTTATCGGATAAACTTCTCAAAAGTTGAAGACATTTGGAGCGAACTGCAAAAACTCTGTTGTGGAACACACCATCTTTAAAAGACTTCTAAAAACAACTGATGTGATATATTCCATTGTTTCAGTTAAGGTAAACAATTCAAAACGCTCAATCGTAACAGTTTTTTTAAAGAAAAATATATAAATAAATTCAAAGCAAGAAACAACCTTAAACAATTCATGTAAATAAATAAATCATAATCAATGAAGTAAACATGAGATATTTTGTTGACTGTAAACAATATATATGTACATACATTATACAAGAAACAAATAAAAAATACCTGTAAAGATCAGATCGTTACATTTGTTCTCGAATAACATCCTTTCATGTACATCTTGGACAAAAATTTTACACTATTCACAAAAATAAATTAATCATAACCTGATTAATTGATTTCACAAAACGGGGCAATAAAATCACAACTTTTTATATTAAATGATGACAGAAAACAAACATAAATCATTGTTAAAATAAAATATTCATGCGAATATCATTATTTTAAGAAAATTAAAATAGAACTAAGAAACTAATATAGTTTCATTCATAGTTCATATTCAAACAACATTAGAAACAATTTATGTAACAAAGCATATCAAATTCAATATAAACACAAAACGTTTATAATGAAACCAACTATATTTTTATCAACAGTTAAAAGATACAGGGTAATAAAACCAGTTCCCATATTTCTCAGATATAGAGTAAAAATTGTGGATAAAAGCCTAACCTAATGTTTAATTTTCCCATAAAGCCTGATTTATAGAACACTGAAAGTGTGCAGTCACTATCAGTTAGTAGCACAAATTTTTTTTATGTGCATGTGAGTTTTGAATCAGAAAAATTTAATATCTGTTAAAAAAGAAAAGAAATGAGAAGAAACTAATCTCTTATTTAATATATACTGAATACTACAATAAAAAAATAATTTTAAACCTAAACAACCAGAATAGATTTTTTTAAATATTTTTCAAAAGTTTGTTTCAATATATGCCAAAATTCAAATTAAATAATAAGAAATTAATCTGTGCCTCTCCTATTTAATAGATATTGAATATTAATTTTTTTTAAGGGTACTTTTATTAAAAGTAAATTTTAAACATTAACTGGACATTAAACTTAAACTTTGAAAATTATTATTAAAGTTTTAACTTAACTGGATTTTATTGCAATATTTTTCAAAGGTTTGATTCAATATAAGTCAAAATTCAAATTAAAGGAGAAGAAATTAATAGATTCCTCTATTATTTGATACATACTGAACACTGTCATTTTAAAAAAAATTAACACAAATAAAACCTAAATAATTAAAATAGGTTTTTTTCAATATTTTTCATAGGCCCAGTTCATTTCTTTTCTTTCAACTTTTCGACAAATTCTAAAAAATATAAATATAAAATTCTTTAAAAAAAAATTATTGTATTTTTTTAAAAAAAATTCTTTTACAAACAATGAATTTGTACATTGTAACAAGCATTGAATTAAATGTACTATTATTCTGATGTTTAATTTCGATAATCCAAAACACCTAGTCACTGAATGGAGAAAAATTTTTAAAAATTTTCAAAACCGTGATTACAGTTGCCATTTATATTTAAATATAATGATCTTATAAAAGATAAAATAAACAGTTTAAAAAATAACAGTTTAAAATCATTCAAAATTTTAATCTAATGATGTTTTGGATACATATTAAATAGGTGTATTAATAGCTGAACCAGTCTTCTGATGAATTACCTAAAATAAAATTCAAAGTTAAGCAAAAAGATAATTTAAAGACAATTATTATTAGCGATAATAATACTGTTATAAAATGAAAATTTTTACACATTTTTTGTCCTAATTAATAGACACAACAAAATCTATTGCCATGAACACTAACAATTTTATTTAGAAAGAGCATTAATGTTACTTAATACTCTATAATAAAAATACTAACTTTAAAAAAAAAAAGGTTTTCAATTAAAAAAAACTTTGCATGAATAGAATTTTTTTCGCACGCATTGACTTTTTCCTGATAAAAAAAAGGATGGCGTCATGGGTTTTCTATGAATTCTATTTTTAAAAAAAATATTTAAAAGAATATTTTGAAAGAGTAGAAGAGGTATATGGATGGCAATCACCGTCTCGATAAAATTGGACAATTCATGAGAGGGGGAATATGGAATATTCTTTTTTTTTTTTAATAACGGCAGGCACTGAACTTTTGTTCTTCGCCTTACAAGATGCCGGAAGTATTGCTCATTTATCGTTACCCAGCGAGCACCTGTGAACCAAAGTCACGGAGGCGAGCAACAATACCCACTCCACCCTGCCACAAATACCTCATTCATACATTCTCACATCAGAAGACAACACACAGAGAGAGAAATATCCATGCCCAGAGCGGGATTCGAACCCGCAGCCAAAGCCGGCATGGAATACTCTTGTCTGACGCAGATTCAAATTTATGAAGTCCTGAATTTAAAGTTAATAAGTTGTGAATTTAAAGTTATTATGTTGAGAATTTAAAGTTAGCACATCTTTTTTTTTTGATTTGTCGATGTCAGTGATAAAATAAAAATATATGAAGCAGGGAATGAGAGGAATATGCAGGATTTTACACAATTCCACCATTTATAAATGTCATATACATTCAGGTCAAATGTCATATATACTTCAAATACATAAATCTAGTTTAAAAAAAATCAAAAAAACTTTAACAATTTTTCAAAAAATAACTTTCAGTATCATTTACACTTAATCCAATTTTTATTAAATTTGAAATTTAAAAAAAAAATTAAAAATTGGCTATTATGCTATGTTAGTAACAGTCGGTTTTTTTTTAAAAAAATCTTTAAACAAATTAAAATTACTAAAAATTGAAATAAGTGTAAATAACACTAAGAATTGTTTTAACAAAAATTATCAGAACTGCCTGATATTTTTTAAACTGAGACTTATGCACTTAAAATTAGCAAAGATAATAGTTATAAATGGTAGAATTGACCTATAAATCATGATTTAGTTAAATAAAAAATTGTTTAAAATACAGAAACAATGATGATGTAATTTTTTTCTCAATTGTTTAACTTTTATTAGAAACTCAAATAATAACAACCACTGATTAAAAAAAAAAAACTTTTCACTGGTAGACAAATATGGACATAAAGGAAAACTGCTTTATTTTAATGTGTCAACAGTAGGATTTTTAGAGAAGGTAAGTAAAAAATGTATTTAGTGAGAAAATCTTAACTAAATCCTTGAGTGACAACTCTCTAAATTTATAAAAAATAAAATGCTAAAATGGCGAAATATGACAGTATTGCCATTGAAATCTGCAAAAAAAATTCCCTGCGTTTTCCCCGTACATATTATACACAATATATTAAGAGGAAACACAACAATTACAGTGCTCTTCTATGAGCTATATTGGACTAACTATACTAATTATAATTGCTGAAAAAACTTAGAGAAGAAAGGAACAGCTGAACATACTTATAACAAATAAAGCTACAGTAAAAGAACTAGTTTAATATAGCTGAAATATCATCCTCAAATGTCCCTGCACTTTGAGCGGTTACCATTTTTTAACAGATGAAAATAAGAAACAAAATTTCCTGCATTTTCCCAGTTCTTTTTTTAAAAAAAACTCAAAATCCCCTGTTATCTTAGGAGATTTTCAAATTCCCTGTATTTTCTAGGTTTTCCGTGTGGAGTGGCAACCCTATATGAAGGCTGGAATATAATAAATAAATGTCGTATTTTGATTTTTCAAGGAGATTATTTACCAGAATAACTGTCAACTGGTTCAATCCAGTTGAAATTTCACAAGATTACTACAATTTGGTGATTATGCAATTTAGTGTAACTGATAAGAGAGACAATTCATTTGTGACATCTATATGTGTGACAAAAAGCTGAATACTAAATATGCCAAAACTGACACTGTAAATCTTAGGCAAATAAAGTAAAGTTTAATGACTAGCATTTTTACTTTTTCAAAATAATTTAAGAACAATGTAATGAAAAAACAAAAATGAAAAAAAAGTTTTTGAACTCTTATCAGCCAGCTGAGTTCAGTCACATTAAGCCACAATTTCATTGTTTAAGCAATAAATAAGTATGATGGCTCAATGCTTTAACAAAAATATTTTTATGGTTTTAAGTTTTCTTTTGGTGCTTGCAATTTAACTTATAAGATATGTTAAAAATAATATTATGCTATACAAATTATGAATATTTATGAGAAATGTAATAAAAAAGATATTGCTGGTTAAGACATTGCTAGATATTGCTTGTATCAACTTAATTTAAACTTCATTTGACTTCAACAACTTCGTAATTAATATTTATACTTTTAAGGCATTTTTCAAAAATTTTTGTACTTATGGGTAAGTGATATAGTAACAATATGTTTCAGTACTTATTGATTAAAGAGATTTTATCATCATATAATATGTAACTTAAAATTAACTTAGATTCCAATAATATGAAGACAAGCATTATTTAGCGCCTTCCATTTTAACGTTTAAGTCAATGCAGATGGTGAAATTTTAATTTAAACTTTCTAGCAAACTAGAAAAGTACTACATTTTTAAATGCAATATATATATATATAGCTGAACCAGT